TTGTGGGAACTACCTTCTTCGGCACCAAATCCCTGGGAGAGAAGACTTTTTCTCGGACACAACTATTGTAGTAGCAGGCGGCCCTTCTCTTGACCTCATCCTACCGAAATGCCAAATGTGTTTGGGCCTCCTCCACATGGTCGAGCGCGAGCATCGCTCCCTTGTCGTTCGCCTCCAGCAAATCTGAGAGGTTATTTCTTCAAATGGCGTGGATGCGAGAACTCTTTGGCTGTGGAGATTATATTCTACTAGCAGCATGACCTTCATCTCGTGGGACAACATGAATGGTGTTTGGCCAATAGCAGTTGACGAAGTTGTGCGAACATCCCACACAACATACAGGAGAATCTCCACACAACTGCCTTTTGCACCTTCTACCTTCTTCTTTAATAAGTTAAGGACGATTTTCTTGGCCACCTCGACTTAGCCATTGGTTCACAAAAGACGAACTGAGGCAAATTTGATTTTATTTCTTGGCCATGGCAAATACTCTAGTCCTTGTTATCTGCAAAATGCGTAACATTGACCGTAATGATCACTAGTGGCAGGTCGTATTGACAGATCAAGTCAGTCAAAATAAAGTTTTGGACGAGTCCACTGTGATCCGGGAGAGTGCTTTGGCTTCAATCCACTTGAAACAATAATCCACTGTTTCTAAGAGGAAGTGTCATTGTCCCTGAGAAGATGAGAATAGTCCTAAAATATCTAGACCCTAGATGACAAAGGGCCACGGGCTGGTGATCGGCATAATTTGTGAGTTGTCTGATGTTGTAGCGAATATATTTCTAGTATTGTTCACAGCGCCTGGAGAATGCTTCGGCAACATTGGCCAGAAATATTCCTATCACTGGACACAGTGTGCCAACGTCATTCCTCCAAAATGGCTCCCATATTCACCGAAATGAATGTCCCAAAGAAAGTCATCTACCTCGCTCTCTCTGACGCACCTTAGATATATCAACGTTGTCGATTTCCAAAAGAGCATTCCTTCCATTAATAGGTATTGTGCAACCTTGCACTTGAACCTTCTCAGGTTCGTGACTTCTGCTATGTTCCCCATTTCTAAGTACCTGACGTATGGGCCTATCCAGCTTTTGCTTTGCTCGCTCTTAGTCGTCATAGCCTCGGGCTCTTTGATGACTCTCCGGTTGAGGACTTGTGGTTCTTCATTTCCCAATCGAACACATTATGATAGAAATTTGGCTACCTGGTCTTCTTCTCAGCTGGTATATTTGATCTGTAACTGCGTGAATCTCTGGATTTCCACCTTGTCTTTGTTAAGATACTTCATCATCGTCTCGTCTTTGGCTTCAAAGTCTCTGTTTATCTGATCCACCACTAGCTACGAGTCTGACCTCAAGATGAGGGCCCAAGTGCCCATCCCATAAGCTAGACGCAAGCCAACAATCAAAGCTTTGTATTCCAACTGCTTTTTTGTTATTTCAAACTTTATGGCCATTGAATGGTATAAGTGTTCTCCTGCAGGACTACTCAGGGCAACTCAAGTCCTGCTTCGATTCTGTTCGAGGAGCCGTCCATGTATAGCATCTACTCCTATGGTCCCCTTTGACTTTCTTCAGTTGTGTCCCTTGCCCCAAAAAGTCCGCCAAGAAATTTTCAACTGCTTGGGCTTTTATAGTCATTCAAGGAGCATAAGTGATGTTGAATTCGCTTAGTTTCACTCCCCAATTGAGTATTCAACCTCAGTGTTCAGGCCTAGTGAGCACTGATTTCACCGGGTGATACGTAATCACTCAGATGAGACGTGTCTATAAGGTCGCAATCTGCGAGCCGACATAATCAGAGCAAAAGTTAGCTTTTCCATAACCGGATACCTGACCTCGGCTTCCCGCAGCACGCGGCTGGTGTAGTAGACTGATAAATGCTTTCTCGCTTTTTCTCGAATTAGCATGGAGCTGATTGCCTCAGCTCTTGCCCCTAAGTACAGAGAGAGCTCTTTGTTTAGCTTCGATCTTTCGAGGACAAGTGGTGAAGCTAAAGAATCCTTAAGGTTCTAGAAAGCTTGTTGGCATTCATCCGTCTGTTGGAAACTCTCGATCTATCAGAGTTTTGAAGAACGTGACGAGTTTCGAAGAACGTGACGCACATATCGCTAAACCTTGAAATGAACCGACTTAGAGCTGCGATCTGGCCGGTTAGCTTTTGGACTTCTCGGGCATTCCGGAGGGCGTGGGGGGCATGTCAATCAGTGCTTGGATTATGTCGGGGTTCACTTTTATACCTTTAGAGGTCAAGAGTAAACCTAAGAACTTTCCAGTTGAGAATCCAAATGTGCATTTTTAAGGGGTTCAATCTCATATTTAATTTTTTTGAAGTTTGGAAGGTTTCTTTCAGGTCCCTTATATATTGTTTGGCCAATCAGCTTTTCAGAAGAATATCGTCAACTTATACCTCAATATTTTTTTTATTTTTGATTTTTAAAGATTACATCCATCAAACGTTGATATATGGTCTCACCATTCTTTAAGCCAGACGGGCATTACATTATAACAAAACACTACCTCAACTATGACGAAAGCGATCTTCTTGGCATTCGCTAGGTGCAACCTGATCCGGTGATACCCGGATAAAGCGTATAAGAAAATCATTACAGAGTATCTCACGGCTACGTCCACCAAGGCGTCAATCCTTAGCGGTGGGTGGCAATCCTTCAAGCAAGCAGCATTCAATTTGGTGAAGTCGATGCAAATCCGCCACTTCTCGTTTGCATTCTAGACCATGAAAACATTTGAGAGCCAAGGGAGTACAACACTTCTCGGATGCACCCCGCCTCCTATAGCTTTAACACCTCCTCCTTGATTGGTTTAGACAGTGTGGTCCCCGAGTTCCTCACTTCTCGGATGCACCCAGCCTCCATAGGGTTTACGTTCAATTTGTGGCAGGCGACATCGACTGGTATCCCGGGCATCTTGACGGCGGTCCAGGCGAAGACATCGCAGTGATCCTGCAGTATTTGAATTAATAGTTCTCGATGCTCTGCATTAAAACCATCACTTATTAGGAAAGATTTATCGGGTTCGTTCTCTCCGACTGGGATCTTTAGGGCAGCCTCATTGGTCTCAAGCCCGCCCTCCTTTCGGCCCTACAGATCATATGCTCCACATTCCCGGCTGCTCTGAGGTAGCAGATCCTCGGCTGCTCTAAATCTCCTCTGACCGTGATCACTTCTCCGCCCCATGGAAACTTCACAGCAACGTGGCAGGTAGATAAAACCGCTCTGAAGAGGTTTTGCAGTGGTCGGTCAAAGATGGCGTTCAATGTTGGGGTCAAGTCCATTATTAGGAAATCTTCCTTCTCCATGTACAGCTTATGTCCTTCACTCAAAGTGATCGCCAGTGTCATTATGCTCAATGCCTCCATCCTTTCGCCTGGAAAACAAAAAAGTGGGCGAGCGGTGCTACCAACCGATCAGCCCGAAGGTTAAGCTTGTCGAGCACTAACTTGAACAAGATGTAGATGGAGCTGCCAGTGTCAATGAGAATGCTTCCAACTTGGAAGTTGTTGATTATCCACATGACGACTGCAGTCTCATCATACGGATTTCCTCGGTGGGGAAGATTATCGCCCGTGAATGTGATAGGAGGAAAGCCTCCCCCCTTGTATGAACGCGAGACTGCACGGCTCGTCGGTTCTGGTCCTCTTCAGGGAGCTCTGTTGTAGGGCATTTATCCCTTCGAGGATGGTCGGGACTATCCGGCGACACGGACAGCGTTCGTCCGTTTGGGTCTAGGCAGTGCCTCCAGTTCCTTCAACTTACTCACCTTGACTAACTCCTCGGTGCCATCTCGCGGGCAACCATATTAGCTACTATTCTTTGGTTATTTATTTCTATCTGGGATCATTGTGCACCTTATCTTGTCGATGACATGACTCCACACGCACCGCACCTTTTTAGGATATTGAATTCAAATTTGTCCAAGAGACACCCAAGGAATAGATCACTCAAGATTAAAAGAGGGTGAGAGATAGACCGAAAGCATAGTGTTGAACAGTAAAATTGTGTAACCTTTATACATAAAATGGATCATTATTTATAGAGACGGGTCATTATACAATTACATATTGTACCCCTAAGGGACGTAGATACGGCAAGGCATTTCTAACTATTTATAAATATTGCCTCTGGGTCCTATGGATGTGGTCGGACCGTCATTGTGTCGGGCGGCTATCAAGCAGAGTGATAGTGAGAGGCCAGGCACCTGTCCGTGCGACTGCTGTCCGTGCAGCTGCTCGCTGAGAGTTCACATCAGCTGCTCCGAAACTAGAGGAGACATTTTCACGCCCTTGGTTTATCCGGGTGGATAGAGCCAGGTTCATTTGACGGGATCTGGCAGAGGGATTTCTTAGGTGATGATCTGTCATTTATCTGTATAAGCTGCACTATCTTCCCGATACGATGGGGGTTGACCGACTGAGTTTGTGGTCTTAGACCGTCCTTGGTAGGTCCAACAGGGCTACACCATCACTTCAGCCATCCGCGTGATGTCTTTGTGATTTGTGCTAACACATTTTTTATGCACATATTGGCATATGATTTGTAGCTATTATAGCTTTCTAACAATGAGATGAGGGATTTCTGACCTTTCTAATGTTATTGTATTTTCAACATATCACTGTTATTATAATGATTGTTTTTAGTAATCAACATGTAGGATTCCAAAGAATTTCTGTTTTTTATAAAATATTTAGATTTTCATATCCTTCTAGTTTCAAGATTTCACTACTGATCAAATGAGAGACTTGAAGATTTACAAGAGGAGTTATCCCCTTATATAAGAGAGATAATTGAATTGATGACTTAATTTCTCACTACGTTGCCTATCACCAAAACATGTTATTGTTCTGACGGTTCTGATACAATCTAATTTTTCACAAACAAATAAAATTTCTTATTTTCACAAGTGTTCATATGGTTTTGTGCAGATACCTGCATCTTATGGTCAAAAAGCTCAATCAATATGATATTTGCTTCCCGAAAACTATATAAAAAAAAAGTACCTAAAACCGGGGATATACAAAGTCCGATTAGACTGCATCACAAGCTCACTTTGCTCTCCCTGTAGTTCAAAAATACGACGTCCCTCTTTATAGCTGCTCCCAAATGCTGCACGAGAGATGACATCTCCAGAAAAGCTCTGCAATTCAGACCAAATATTTATCTCTAACACACCTGCACTATCAGCCAAACCCTCCCATCGACTTATGAGCTCATCACAGCAAGCAGCAAATGCCGGCATCATTATCTGTACGAACGAAAAATGGAAAAATAGAAGCCCTAAATTTGGATTCCTTAACCTAGGGCGAAGTTCCTTGACGCGAAAATGAAAGAGTACCTTCAACTTCTCAACATGGAAGGCAGGGCTGATGATTCTTCTATGTTTGGCCCATTTCTCACCTTCATAATTTGCGAGCCCTAGAGCTAGCTGCTTTATATTTTGTGATGGTTTTGGCTTCTCAAAATGACCAAATTTGCTGGATAAAACGTCCTTTACGAGCTCAGGATCCATGATAACCACCCTGGGATAAGGCCCAAACCAAAAAAATGGTGCCTTATTCTCACCTGCATTTTTTTTACCAAATAAAAACAATATATCCCAAAAGTGACAAGAAGAGGCAGTAGAAAATTAACAAACTGAGCAAGTCGACTCGTTGAATTAATGAGCCAAATTGACTCGTTGAATTAATGAGGTTAATTTGACTCGTCCATCTCCACAAGTCACCTCGTTTAAAAATTATTAATAAAAAAATACTTAAACATATTAGAACTAAAATATTTTAGACTAAATTATTAGAAACTTTTATTTTTTTTTTCTTTAGCTCTCACCAGACCTAAGAAAATAAAATAAATAGAAATGATTGAAAATAATATTTTATTTTTTATATCAAGTGAATTATATTATTTCTCTCCTAATTATTTCTTCTTTTTATCATTTTATTATCGTTGTAATCAACAAATTTTTTTAGCACAACTTTGAACGATTTTTTTTTTACCATTAAACGTTATAGAATTAAATTCAACATCATTCAATGCCTTAATTTCAACAAGTTTATAATCAAGTTAAATATCTCGACAACACGAACCCGATAATACCAAAATTAATTTGATTCAAGTCAATCAAGCAAAGATCAAGTCATTAAAGAATATTTAAAGGTTTTAGAATATCAATTGAATGATCAAATTAACTCAAGTTTTAAATATTTATAGTCAAATCATGTGTCTTGATGTGAGGAATCCAGCGATATGAAGCTCGTTTAATTTCAAGGTGTTTAAGGCCCTCAAATCATAAGAAAAAAACTCCTATAATTAACAAGTATCAATGAAGGCCCTCTAATTAGGTTGTTGGGGAAGTTATTCCATAATAGACTAAAATGCCCCAATTTCATAGACTATAAGTGGACTCCTACTCTTCACTTGAGGAGGAGGCGGGTGAAGAGAAGAAAATTCAGAGCTTATTTTGAACTAAAGATTCGGAGGTAACTTTCAACCAAGGCCTATCAACTTCCTTCAACTACAACCAGCCACCCCTGGTCCATGCCAACGGCGACCCCAAGCTTGCTCACCGCCGTCGGCAACCCCTATTTGCTAATGTTGTATCCAAACTACTATTGTAACATATAACATCGTATTACAAACTCTTGGATAACTTCCGACCTTTGTAGCAGTTGATGGACGTCGACTACCACCCGTCGGTTATCATCAGCCGCATTTGCTTGTCGTCATCAGCAACCCTTGCTTACCAACATTGTATTGAAGACCTAACGATAACTTCTAGCCTCCATAGTCATTAACTACTGTTGACCACCACCAACCATCAACACCTGCCACCACCGACCATAAGCCACTGAAAACTATTGCTTACGATTGTCGCAGTCAGAATACGATGGTTGTACCTAACATATATATCTTTCCTTACGTTGTATCCTAACAAATGCAGTGTCCAGTGTAAAATTGTAATCACGTTCTAAGAGAAGGAGTTCAGTCATCAACCAAAGTCTACGTGGCCAACTATTACTAAAAATTTCACCCACGAAATTTGTGATCAATTGAAGCTATTATAGCTCCCAGCTATGGCCTATACAGAAAATTACTTTTATAAATTTGAATTATGACTTTTGTGGCGAACAAATATTATTGTAGTCACTAACTACGATATATGTGGTCAACTAATGATTTTACAATCTTTGTAGCCAATTAATGATATTGCAATCACCAACTATGATATATATGACCAATTTATGATATTACAGTCAAGCAATTATAGCCTATTTGGCCAATTGATGCTATTATAACTTTCAACTATGATATATGTGTCTAACTTACACTATTGCAGTCCCCAACTACAATCTTTATAGCCAACTGACAATATTGCAGCTTTCAACCATGACATTTGTAGCCAATTACTGTCTGTACAACAACTACTTACAATATTTGTGGCCAACTATTACTATCATAGCTTCCTACAACAGTCTTTGTGGGCAACTACTGTCTATATAACAACCAACTATGGTCTTTGTGGTCAACTACTGTCTATGCGAAAAACTAATATAGCCTTGTGGCCAACTATTTCTATATATTTAAATTATGGCATTTGTGTCCAACTAATGCTATTGCAATCACTAATTTTGACCTATATGACCAACTAATGATATTGCATTCACCAAATATATCATATATGATAAACTGACGCTATTACAACTTTTAAATATAGCATTTGTGGTTAATCAACAACTATGACCTCGATAACCAACTAATGTTATTGCAATGATCAACTACGATCTTTGTGGCTATTTGATAATATTGTAGTAACCAATTACGACTTTTGTAGCCAACTGAAGATATTATAGTCACCAACTATAGCTTACGTGACCAACTAATGAAAATGATACATCAACCACAACTTATGTGACCAGCTGACACTATTACATATTCCATTTACGACCTCTGTGACTAATTGATACTATCATATTCCTCAATACGGCCTCTATGGACAACTACAAATATTACATCTTTCAATCATAATTTTTATGGCCAACTACTGCATGTGCAATAAACAAATTTGGTATTTGTAGCCAACGGCTATTGTCACAACTTTAACTACAGCTGCATTGTCAACTATCACTTTTGTAGCTACCAACTATAGCATTTATGTCCAAGTGCTACCTTTGTAGCAACCAGTTACGACCTTGGTGCTTAACTATTGCTATTAAAATTACAAATCTTAGTGGTTGTAGCTCAATTATTACAATTATAACTAAACTACTATTGCATATATATGGATATTGGCTTTGTAAATTTATCTTATCTATTTTAAGAGAAGAGTGAATATATATACTTACAATTACATAATGGATTACTTTGACTGGGCTTGAGCCTATGTTTTTTTCCTCTTTTAGGGTTTTGTACGTAAAAATTTTAGTGTCTTCTCCTACTATTTTTTAGTTATTTGTGTGTCATGCAATGACAAAATACTAAAATATCACTCTATTATTGTGAACTTTATGACACACAACAATTACAATAGTTGTTTGAATTAAAACCATTTTTTCATTTAATATTAAACAAACTGGCTCTTAAACCAGCTCAAATTTTTAGAATTGAGCTCAAGCTCATGCTCGATTAATTAAACTCAAGCTCAGATTATGGTGGCTTAAACTTGACTCGTTTACAGCTTAAGTTAGATTAATTAATCAAAATCAAATTCAAGATAAGGGTGGCTTGAATTCAACCCATTTACACCGCAAAGTACAAAACTATAAAAGTTATCAACATGTTTTTGCAACCGTGCAAGATGCTTGGAAAATCTTACAAATTTGTATAAGAGAGTGTAATGTTAGAAATTCTAAATAGCAGAAATATTATTTTTCATTACAAAGTCCTTTAGAAGATCAATACTACTGAGTAACATTGGTAAACAATATTAAAGTTGAAGGAAATTCCAAGAAAATTAGTATAGCATATGAATTAAGGGTGTCAATTCGGGTTTGCGGGTTGGGTTTGTTTCTGACCCAAAATTGAACCGAACTGAATAGATCTGACTCATACATTATAAGGGTAGAAGATCTCAACCCGAACATGACTCGTATAACCTTTTTAACTTAAGAAATAACCATTACTTTGATTAAAATTGGATCAAATTTGGGTCAGTTCTCTGTTGACATGTCAATTTTAAGCTAATTTAAGGTTGGCGAGACATTTTCAGGTTGGTCGGTCAACCCGAACTTGATTGAAAAAATTAAATGGGTTAGAATCTTTAACGCAAATTTCGACCCGAAAATTACTCTGGTCAACCTGAACCCGTATTTTTCATGTCGATGTGGTCAGAGTTGGTACTACGTGGCCAACTATTACATTCAAAAAAATTTATCCTTTAAACTTAAATATTTAATTATAATTTTATATTGAATATATTTTTAATTTAATAATATTTTTTATAATAATTAGAAAAAATTATGAAAATAAAAATTTGAATTTTAAGTACTTATCACTGTCTATATTTTATTATTATCACTTCTATCCTTAACTTTTAAATCTTCCAAATGTCAAAGACAAACTTTCTACGGGTTTATCTCATCTACAACTGCTCAAAAAGTACAAACATAGATCACACCTCCTTCCCCAAAAAATTCATCCAGACTCTTGAATTAGTGGAACAAAAATCAGAAAAAACAAAAAAAATATTTACACACATATCAAATAATTCCATATATTTACATATCAAACATCTAAATCTTATTTGATATTAATATTATCTAAAATTTCCATTATTTGCAAATCTTAACAAAAAAAAAAAATATATCTGATTTACCTCCATAGAGTTCCACAGAGCGACTCAAATGGGGAACGACGCGATCTACTATGCTGTGCGAAAGCGGCAGAGGTTTCCGGCGAGCCTCGCCGACGAGATTCGTAATGTCCGCGAGATCGCCGGAGGGTAAACGATACCTGCTTCCTCGGAGCCCCTGAGCCCTCAGCCTCCGCTCCAATCGCCGTGGCTGGAACCCAAAACATACCCGGGCCAGCCAATATCCTAACTCCATCTTGATGTTTCAAGAATATTTTCTGGCTTCAAGCACTTGGGTGGAGGTTCCCTTCTTATCTCCGGATCTCTTACCGTTTTTACAGTTTTTTAGTGATTTTGTCGCTGCCAGAAAAATGACTGGTTAGAAGAGAGACGTAATAGTTCCAAACTCATGTACAAAAAATATAGAAAATTTTCATGATTAAAAATAAATAAAAAAGTCAATCTCAATCTTGAAGATAAAATTGAGAAGTTGTCACATGTACTATATAAATTTTGTAAGAACAAACTTATGAAGTTACTGAGGGGCTATTTGTTTAGATTTGTTGATTTTTTTCCTCATTTTTTTTTATAAAATTTGAAGAAAAGAGGAAGACAGATAGAGAGAAAGGGAGTTATTATAGGGATAAGTTGAGTTCCAAAAACTAGAGAATGGACCTAGAAATCGAGAATCTATTTTACATTTAATCATCCCCTTTTATAGGGAGGGCACGCATGACAAAATAAGTGTTCATGCATGCAAAATAATTGGCGACGGTAGAGTAATTAACTAATATCTTAGCATTGTATGAGAACTCACCCATGTAATAGAAATGGTGTGCAGAAACACAAAAATATTTTTTACCTAAAAACTCCAGACAGAAAAAAAGCTACTGGGTCTGGCCTAGTTGAAGAGATTCACTATAAATTGGTGATTGTAGATATTATCTCTTGTCCCACGGGCGTGAAAATGTTGCATAGTTTCTCGAGCTACAACGTCAATGTGCGAATGAACTTGCCGCCTCACGTTAAAGAGGATTGCAACAGAGAGTAATAGTCAGAGCTTCAATGCGCTATCTTCAAGGTTAGGACGTCGTTCTTGATGATGTGTTGCTTAGTAGGTTTGTTTCATACGGTGCGTCATTGCAAGGAGTGGGCAACGATCTATTGTGATTAGCCACGACTGACAAGTGGTGGTTGACTTTGGTTGGTGGCTGCAACAGTAAGATGTGTTCGTCGAATCGTAGGCGCATAAGTGATGCTAGACGTCTGTTCTTTCTCCAAGCTTTAGTCTTTTTCAAGTGTCAAGCTCCAAGTCCTCTTTGGAGAGGGGGATAGGGCTCTACTTATAGAGTCTCAGCTGCAATTAATGACGGAATTTAAATCACTCTAATCAAACGAACTGAATAAATTATCTAAATCTGACAATGTTTATAGATATTTGAACGTCTTAACGATGTCAGAATTAAACAATCTTGAGCTTGTTTGATTTGTCTTGTCGATACTCTAATTCAACATTTTTTTGATCTTCCAAATATGCTCAAAAAGTTTCAAAAATATATTTAATGGCTTGATCGGGGGTTGATTTGGTTTGGTTTGGATTGGATCAATATTGGTACCATTTGGTCTGTCTCGTCGAACCAGTCTGACTATAAGTTGGTTGAAGTCAAAGCTTTGAACGTTATTGATCAAAAGATCAACCCGACATCTGTGTCATGCCTCGAGATTAGTGCTAGATGATGGGAGTTTGTTGACGGTGTATCAAGTATATGTCATAATAATGCAAGACCTTTGAGGACATCTAGCCATTTTTTTAAGCACATCTTCATTAAACTCAATATCTTCTTGAAAATTTTCTCCTAAGAGTCAACTGGTCATCTAGCGAATGATTGGGGATCCATGTTCTTAGCATTCATCCTTTTGCTCTCTTATTCTTAAAATATTGAAAATTGCACTTGAAAAAATAAAAAATATATGTACAAGAAGTACAAAGTATGATATTCAACATGTACAAAATGTGTCACATAATCTACAATAGAAGCAAAAAGAGAACTATCATTTACATTTCTTAAGCTAAAAGAATCTTGTAAAGCAATTTGAGCATAATGATGAACCTATCTATTCTTATCAACAGTGGTATGGTGAAAAATAATGCCTGAACTATGTCAGAAAACCAAAATTTGGGAGCTAAGGCAGTCTAGACTATCAAGAATTCTCTTTCATCATATCACGAAGAAAGTAAATCCTGTTCAAATTATCCCCTTCAATAGTATAACTTTTGATTTCCAGCATTCATGGTTCCATGATGTCTTTGAATGCTAGAATTGCCTGAAGTTTAACCTAGAACTTATGTACTCTTATTAGACTTCTCCATACCCATTCTTTTATTTTTGGTCCTACTTACTCAACCCTTTACATTTGGCCACCTCAACTATATCGATACTTAGTTGAATTTAGTGAAGCTGGGTTGAACACTTTTTCATCTTAATTTGGGCTTTTTTTCTGGTTGGGTCCAAATACGGTGAGAGGCCCATTTAGGTGAACTTCTCTCTTGCTTATTTGTGTATATACTTTTTTGTTGTACATATTTATTTCTTAATTCTTTCATTTCTATGAAAGTTTTGCTACAATAAAAAAAAATAATTACACTTATTAAATAATTATGTGATTTAAGTGTCATTTATGATGTGGATACTCTTGGATTTCTCATAATAGAGCGTGGAGCCATCTATTGAGTTTATTTGCATTCTAGGCTCCTTTTTTGCTCATACTTTTGATTGCTTTTTGCTTGTTTTGTGTATCATTGGGGAACTCCATCAGTTAAACTCCAATATTTTGGATGAGGAATTATTTCTAGTAATGTTTACCAATTAAAAGTGGGTGAGTGGTTACAAGGAGCAAAAGCCTACAGCGAAACAAAAGAAGAGAGGTTCATCTTCTGCCAAGGGGAGACATTAATGAAAACTTCTATAAGAGCTAATGTTGGGAAAATTTTCTTAGAGATTGGTTCTAATGGATGGTCCAACATATATTCTACCCTTGCAGATGAATGTTTATATGCTTGCAGCAACATTCAATCTTTGGGGTGTGGGAAGATGAGAAAAGTCACCATCAATTTGAAAACTCTTAGGTTAGTATAAATCGATTAATATGTAAAAATAATTTTTTGATTTATGCATATTAAGATAAAATATGTCTTTCTTTTGTTTCCCTTTTTGTTTGCAGAGTATTTTACTTTTAGTAAATTTTGTGGCCCCAATTGTTACATAAAGAATACTAGCTAACTAAACTTGAATGTGGTGTCTGATGATCTTATGAGAAATGATGATAATGTGATTAAGAGAGTTGATTGTGATGGAAAAAGGATGTTTTAGGGATGAAGAAAAGAGTTGAAAGATTATACAAAGTAGCAGCGTTTCCCCCTCCATCTAAGTTGCCTCGATTGCGAATATGGCTGAGCAGGTAGAGCAATTGCACGACTTGAAATGAGAGGTTGCTGAATGTAAGAGTTTTTTTATAGACTTACAAAGTGAATTAAGGAATGTAAATGAGAAATTTGTGGTTCTTAAAAGCTAGGACAAGTCCAATTAATAGATTTAGTTCAAAGCTATAGGGGTTAGAGGCTTATTTGGTTGGGCGATCTTACCATCGAGGTTGTTGTGTACCCTTATATAGGGTCCTTATTTTAGCTTGATTCATTGTATCTATTTATATTCTTGGGAATTGAATCATTTGTAATGAACTTTTAATGCTTAATTGAATAAATGTTTTATTTTGTCGCATTAGTTTTTGTAGAGCCTTCTCTATTTTATCAAATGTAATTCTTTTCATCTGGTGTCTTGTGTTTAACTTCTTACCCTTAGAGTAGTTATGATTTTCTACCCCATGAAAATAGATTTCCTATTGGTTATTTTAGTTCCATTTGTGAATTTTCTCCAGGTTCCTAGAATCTATTTTCTCTATCTTCTTCCTATTGTACTAATTGCATCTCATTTCTTTTGGTCGAGTATGGGGTCATTAAAAGATGACTTATGAGCAATTTCAATAGACCAAGTTGGAGTATGTTTTTGAATTTTCCATTCTCCTAACGGTGGCATAGAAGGCATAAAGGGTGAATTGATTATATGATAATGAGTTGTTGTTCTTCCAATACTAGTTCAAACTTGGACTTCAATTGTCACTTTGTGAAGAGTTGGTGGATATTTTTAACTTTAATGAGGTTGAGTTGACTTAAGTGATTCAAATTTATTTTTTTGATATCATGAAGCTAGTGATATATTTTTAGTGCATGAAGATTCCATGGCCAATAAATCTCTTCAGGTCACTCTTCTTCTGAAGGTTCTATTGAAAGGGACTCATCTAACTCTTCATGATGTGGTCACACTCCATGGCTTGGAGAATAAGTGAAAGTGTGGAGAAAAAAAAGGTTTTGCATTGCTTCCTCAAAGAAAGCATTTCCAATTATTGAGGCCAATTGTCTTAAAACAAAAGAAAAAAGTGAAATCATTGTATAAGGAGCTTTGATAAATCTACTAGCGAAAGAAGTAAAAATCAATGTACCAAGCTACATAAATGTTACTATTCTTGAAAAGATTTTAACTCTATAACTGTTTAAAGTAGTTACATCAAATGACTGGACATGTGTTGATGTAACAAAGGAGGGGTTCAATATGGAGTTCGTGAAAAAAAAAGTTTGAAAGGAGGGAGGTTAAAAGGAGGGACTCGACCATACTACCACATGTATGGGTTCATATCCTTACTCCATCACTCACGCTATCAAAAATTTTTTACAAGAAAGGGATTGATAAGTTTATTATTATTCTATGTAAAGGCTTTTGAGAAGGGAAAGAAGATGGAGTCAACCCCTTATCTTATATACATGTTTCTCCTTTGAGACATGGTGGAGCAAAACCATATTAGGATGTGCTAGATCAACCAAAAGATGATGAGGACATCTTAGCTACCCACTGGAAGTGCAAACCACTCAGTCTAGCTCCCTGATTATTTGTTAATTAAGTGTTGCAAGCAGTGAAAAGACTTTGTTTGATGTGGAGGCTATAGAGAGGGCATTTTAGGACTCTACCTACAAGAGAAAAGGAAAAGCATTTTGTTACATTAATTTTAGATGTCACAAGTATTGGATGTCAACTTAAACGCTACGGGACCATATGTTGCTTATATGAAGGTCCCTATAACTCAAGACATCCATTTGAGCCTTCCAACACATGCTCAAGGCATAAAAATGAGATTTGTTCTGGG